TTTTAGAAGTTTAAAACAAAAGGGAAACTAAATTCAATTAAGGGAATTAATATTAAAGTGGTCGGAGCGTGATGATTTGAACCTCCGCGAATTAAGTTGTACCTAAGCATATAAAAATATTTAACTTAATTGTTCTGTAGTGCTTATCAGTTTAAAAACCCTCGATTCACACTCTCGTGGTCTTACCTCGGATCATACTCCTAAAGCCAAATGTCTGCTCTCGCTAGTCCATAAGTGTTTAGAAAGCATCTTTTTGAAAACTAAATAAGTCTAATTTGTTTTAAAGCGCTCTCGCTGTATTTAAATCGAATGCCTAACTTTAGCTATTCGGTTAAAACCTCACACTCTCGTGGTCTTGATTTCTCCCTATTACACTTTCTTTACTCTCGTAATAAAAAGCTTAATTTTTTAATTATAAAAAGTCACATCCAAAAATTAAGTTGATTAAGGTTTTAGCTTAGAAAAACATTAATTTATTCGGTTATTTCATCACACCCCGACTACGGGTATTTAGCTACTCATAATACTCGGAATTAAAAAGCAGGAAATAAATTCAGAAAACAATAGCGCATGCATCATAAATAAAGAATAGAAATATAACATAAATAAAATTGTAATTATATCAAATACAATAAAAACCTGAAAAGCAATAAAATCTGAGATCCTTCTTCCACAAGCCGGCAAGATTGGAACGTCGGAATGAAAACTTAAATGGACGAAATTCGGAAATAAAATCGAGATTAAAAATCGGCAGAGCTTCCGCAAGGTTTTTGTGAACTAAACTCTCCCCCCTTTTCTTTCTAAGTCTAAGCTATTTATAGAGAATAAAAGTACGGTTGGAATTATATCTGAGTTCCTAGATTCTTGGTTTTACTGAGAAAAATGAGGAGAAAGTGGCCTTGGAAGTTGGAGAGAATTTAGGCACGTATGCATGCTTTGCTTGACCACTTCAGTTTGCTTTACCACGTTCTGTTGCTTGACCACGTTCAAAATTTAACACTTATAGGCTTGTTACGGGCGTGGCTGGGGCGTTACGCGCAGTTTGCATGAAATAGCGCGTTACGGTCGTGGCAGGGGCGTGACGAGCGTAACGCGCGTCTGAAGCGTCTTACGGTCGTGGCAAGGGCGTGACGACCGTAATGGCAGCAATTATGGATTTCTTGACAGATTTATCTTTTCTTTTTGGTCTTGGCCGCAATCTCGCATATTTCATGTTTCTTCTTAGTTTGAGCTGAGATATGTTGTACCTGCATAAAACCATGCAGAACTTGGAATATTCGAGAGTTAATCGGGTAAATACGACATAAAACGAATAAATTTTATGGTAAATATATGATATGATTTCGCGTTATCAGTCTTCAAGTTCTAATATATATGAGCTCAATTCCTCTGATTTAACAGAATAACCAAACAACCTCTGATATTTTAACCAAGATTATCTCTTAACCTATGAAGATTTTAATATAAGGCTAATGTTCAAACTATCTTGGTTTTAACCAGGCTAACCAAGAATCAGGGACGGTTTTAGTAACAACTAATCTTCAACCTTGGACTGATCACACAATCCTCAACCTAAGATTTTATCAGGTTTAGCTTCTAACCACAAATAATCCCTAATTGAACAATATTCAACCAAGGTATATATAAACAATATCCAAGGTGAATTTACAACTCTACCCTTTTCAAAATTACACAAGTAACTTCAGTCACAAAGAGACTTTCCTCAAAAAAGCATTTGGTTACAATATCTAGTGAGAGGAAGTTAAAATAAAACTTAGAGAAAGAGGGTGAGAGAAGGTAGTGTCAAAACATGATTCCGGATGGTTTAAAATGAGAAAATGAGTCTCTATTTATAGGAAAAAGGTGTGCCCAAAATAGAATTTTCAATCAATGAATTTTCCTGTTACCTAATTGATTAGTATTTATTTTATTCGATTAGAATTTGAAAAATAATCTATTGTAAGTACTTTAAAAGGAAAGAAAATATATCTAGTCATCGCATATCATAAGGTGTTGTCTAAATAGTTTGGGGCGTAAGTTTGAACTAATCTAATTGATTAGACAAAAGCCCCAATCGATTAATGTGTGAGTGCTTATATTTTTAAAGATGTTTTCTCTTTGATAAAAACATTTGAAAAAGGTTTTAATGTGTGCGTGCTTATAGATTTATGCTTTTACAGAAGTCCTTTGCTTACATAAGTTCACTCACTTACTAAATCAATAGTTTAACTCCTTTCCTACAAGTCCTTTATTAGATACTATCTTTGTGTTAACACAACTTGAGATTACTTGAGGCTTTGGATACTTTCCACTTTGTCTGCCTTCTTTAGATAGTTTATCTAACTATAACGCTTAGGTTTGCTTTACTTTATTTGCCTTTTTTAGATGGTCAAGTTTATCAAACCATATCATCTAAGTTTGAATCTTTAACCGTTTAAGTGTTATGCTTGACTCGTCATTAGTTATCCTTAGTTGTTATCATCGAAAGCTGATGTCTTGATTAAATGTTTATTACCTGCAAAATAAGGTTCTACATAATCTACTAATGTATCTCAAATGAACTTCTTGTGCGACTACTTTCTTCTTAGCTAAGTAATTCCGTCTCACCTGCAACTTTCTTTGCCACCTTAGCTTTCTAAGCGCACCGCTCATGCTCTCTTTGCTACCAAACTCTTCCTTCACATTGAAGTAACTTAACTCTAAAATCATGATTTGCCTTTGCTCGCTAAGTGTGTTTGTATTCTTAGCTTAGGGAGGTTGTCATATTTCATCGCTTAGTGTGCATATGTTCTTAGCTTAGCGAGTCTTGGTTTGTTGAAAAAGTACTTTGATTTAGTCTTTGTGTTGTTTTGACGATTTTTTCATTTTTTTTAAAACTTTATTTTAGTCAATATATAATTAAATTGCTTAAACGGGTGTTTTATCACTTTCCCTTTGATAAATGAGAGGATCTCTAGAGGGATTATTTTATAAGTTTTGTTATTTTGAAAAGAAAAAAATTATGTTCATTGATATCCCTAGGAACCGCGAAGATCTACGGAAGATGGAAATGATGGTTAAAATACTCCAATGGTAGAGATCAAAAGCAGGAAACAAATTTGATTGTGTTGATGGAGATAAGAAAGTATCATGCGTTGTCGTCCCACTTCATCCTATTGACGTCCCTATGTATGTCTACTGTTTGGTAGAGATGGAATATAAAGGACTCTTTGATCCTAAATGTTTAGTATAAATATTTGAATGTAGAATTTAGTGTAGAAATAGAAATCCTGATGATACTAATTCAAATAAAAACAAATATAATTTATTAAAAAATATTTTTTAATTTTAACCATTTATTTTTTATCTAATAGTTAGAAATAAGTTGTTTACTATCACCAAAAAAAAAATAGTTCTTGTCATGAGATGAGTAACTTTTTAAATTTATAATAAATGAAAATATCTCAATTTCTTATATTTTTAAATTAAAATAATAAATAAGTAAAAATCATTTAAAAAATCACAAATACGATAGAAACTCTTTAAATTAATAATGTCAGAATAAGAGAAATTTATTAATTTAGAGAATTATGAATCTATCGATAAATTAAAAATTATTAATTTAAAGAGTTTTTAAGTAATTATAATGTACATATCAAACAAAAAGGTAAATTAGTCTATGTCTCTTAGAATTACGTTGCATCGAATTTTGGGATTCAACGTAAATTAGTAACTATTTTGTTCATATGTATTGAAAATCGATAATGATTTTTGAAGTACAGTAAATGTAAACAAGAGTAAAAAATGTGTTCAATGTATTCTTAAGCAAGTTTGACATATATAAATTACATGAATGTGTTAGAGTATCATTGAGAATAATGCAGGGGATGACGGCGAAGATGATATGGTGTCTTTGGAGCATGTTACGTAAAAGGAAACACTTATGGCGTCGAACACTCTTCACAACTTTATGATACAATACAAAAATACAACACATGAGCTATTGGATGCAATAAAAAAAGTTAGAGATGAGCTACAAATAGACTTGAACTTTAAAGAAAAACAGACAACTATTGAATCATATTTCAATAGAGTGTAATATCTTTTTTTATAGTTTCTATGAATTATTAATTTATGATTTTCTTAATGATAAAAAATTATGAAGAGATCTCCCAAAAAATTGTTATATTATTATTTTATCAAAATTTTTAATTTTTTACATTGACTCACGTCGAGACTAAACAAATTTACTATTTTAGAAAATTTATAAATTTATCAAAATATTAATTTAAATTTTTTTACTGTATATATAATATGTCAATTCAAGTAGAAATGCACATAAGGAATATAATTAGTTATAATCATATTTGGATAAAAATCAATTATATAACTATAATTAATTTCTTTGAAAGTATACATTTCTAATTAATTATTTAATTATTAATTAATCATTTTGGTAAATCTTTCCAATTGGGCTAAATTTTGACCGGCATGATGACAACACATTCGTGTGTGGCAGTCGTTAATGTAAATCTAAGATAAATAGAAAAACCCTAAATTCTTTTAAAAACAAAAGGACACAATTGGTTGAGAATTAATGTCTGTTAATTACTTTAAAAATGAAAAGACGCAACTTTTGAGATAAGGAGATTATATGAAATAATGAAGAAATTAAAGGGTGAAAGTGAAAATATTAAAAATATAGGATGAGGGTAAGAAAGAAGCATAAATAAAGAGATGACAAAAAAGTAGAGCTACCTACCTACCCAATGAAAGGAAACAGAAACAGAAACACAAACACAGCACAAACTTAATTGTAACCACTCGTCTTTTCTCACCAACTCGGTCAATCACTTTTGAGAAAAAGAAGCTCTCCTAGTCAATTGCATTTGCACCTCTCTCTCTCTCTCTCTCCACAACCTCCCGTTTATATTCTCTTCTTCTACCTTCTTTTGTCCCCTCTCTCTCTCTCTCTACTCACCACTCTCTCTCTCTCTCTCTCTCTCATTTCTTCAACAACCATGGCTAGATCTCCCTGCTGTGAAAAACAACACACTAATAAAGGCGCTTGGTCTAAGGAAGAAGATGAACGGTTAATAAAATACATCAAGTCTCACGGTGAAGGTTGCTGGCGTTCTCTTCCTAAAGCCGCTGGTAATTTATCATCGTGTTTAACTATTTCATCATTTTCAAAACCGTTAATTTAATTACTTATTCATTTCTTAATTATTTAATTAATCATATGCATGTTTTTTGTTTTTGCTACTCAACAGGCTTGGCTCGTTGCGGCAAAAGTTGCAGACTTAGATGGATAAATTACCTCCGACCTGATCTCAAGCGAGGTAACTTCACTCGCGAAGAAGATGAACTTATCATTCGTCTCCACAACGAAGTTGGTAATAAGTATGTAATCTCTCTCTAGTTTTTGTTCATAATTCATTTTTACAATTTTAGCCTTTGAGGTATATTTCTCATGTAATCCATCTTGTGGTTAATAAAGTTGGGTTTGTTTTATCAGATGGTCTCAAATTGCTCAACAATTGAAAGGAAGAACAGACAATGAGATCAAGAATTACTGGAATACACACATCAAGCGTAAACTCTACGGACGTGGAGTTGATCCTTCAACGCATAAACCACTCAAACCCACCACCGCCGCTGCTGGTGCTAGTGCTGCTACTTCCTCGACAACCACCGCCTCCGCGGTTGCTTCTCCAACAAATCTTATCAACAAACCTGCTCTGATTCCCGTGGTCCCCACTAGCAGTGGCAGTAGCGTTAGCCACAAGAGCTTGAACATGAAAAGTGTGTTTCCTTTATTCAGTTTCAATGGCGGTTTGAATGAAAAGTTAGTTGTAACTGATTTTGGTTGCGGCGGTCTGGAAAAAAAGTTAGTTGTAACTGATTCTGGTTGCGGCGGAGTTGAGGATTCATTTTCAAACACTAGCAGTGGTGTAACCTTGGAAGAAACACCTTATCCTCATCAAATCAACTTGGAACTTTCATTGGCTCCACCATTTCAACAGCCACAGTTGCTGTCATCACAAGGTGTGTGTTTTTGTAATCAAGCTTTAGGGTTACGTGGTAACCAACCTTGTTGCTGTATCAATACCAGGGCTATTGATGCTGCTTCTGCGCCTGCTCCACCACCTGCAACCACCGCCACCGGCAATGATTTTTGTAGATTTTTCGGAGCTGGGTTTATCAATTTTTGATTGCCAAATTCGGAACCTTATTATTATAATTTAGATTTAATCTTATCTTTTGGTGCTAATTATTAAGCACAGTTCAGTTGTAGAATCCAATTTCGAAACTTTTCGAAAATTTTCCGTATTTTTTTTATTATTTTTTATGTCATAGTTGACTGTGAAACAGAGTTTTGAACCAATATTTTAGCCTATAATTTTGGTTTATTTTTCACTGTTCTATCTCCATTTACATGGTTTGTTTATGCTTATTAATGATAGAGTCATAGACATATAAAATCAATGTTGAATTTCCACTTTGCTAGATTTAATTCTTCTCTGTATGGTTTTGACTATTGACCCTTATTTGTTTTCAATAGATAAAATAAAATATAAAATAAATGAACATTAACATTTATCTTTTCTAAATTTAAGTTTTTTTTTTTTTGGTAGTGACTAGTCACAATATGTTCAAGTTCAACTAGCATGCCATGTAATTATTTTAGATTTGGGAAAGATTCGTTATTTGAGTAAAAACTATTTTTTAGTTTATTTGAATCTTTTTGAGAAAGTAGGATAATATTGACTCACAAACAAACCAATACAGCAACAAGAGACAATATATGTCATTTTCTATTCTCATTTGATTTCAGAAAGTGAAAACACAGATGGCACAATATTCTCCCCATTTCCCTCCCACAACATCTTCATTTTTATTTTCAACAACTCCAATTAATCAATACATGAATAGTAAGAAACGGTGTATTTAATAATTTATATTTTGAATATAAAGATAAATGGAACAATATAAAAGTATAAGATTTAGCCGATAAATATATTAATACAATACTGGTATTTTGAATGATGTTGGAAATTTATCACTGATTTGAGTTTCTTTGAATTAAAATATTTTTGAAGTTGAAGTTTTAGAATTGAGATGTAGGTCAAAGAAAGACTGAATAAAAACAAAAATAAATTATAAAATATGCAAAGTTTGAAATTTTCCCAGCCTTCTAGAAACTAAATTATTAATTAATTTTAAAAAAAATTATGTTGGTGGTATATTACGATTTAGAATTTGACATATAATATATATATTGTTTGTGAAAGTTTATAGAACTAATATCGTTATTTAATGGTAAGCATTTTTAATTGAAGTTTGTTCTAGATGCATAATAGATGGACTTAATCTAAAATAAATAAATAAAATACTATAGTAGTGATAGTTATCATTATCCAATTGAGTGAGTATGGCCCACGTCATGTGATATGGACAGAATGTTTAGCAACTACCCAGGATTTGATGAAGAGAAGTGAAGAAGGTGTGTGATTGAAGAGAAAGGAGTCGTGTTTGGTGAGAAGTGGGGCCAGACATGTTGGAAGGATGAACAAGACAGAAAACGTTGGTTAAGAAAGATGAACTCGTGAATCTATGAAACATCAACATTGAACCCTGAGCAGGTTAGGTAGCTATGTGTTGTTTGCACACGTCATGAGTTATACCTACCCTCTGTCTTTTATCATTAATTTCGAACGATTTTAATGTATGTTATTATCCCTATCTTTAATATGAAATCTACAATAAGTTTTTAATTTAATTAACTTGTAGTACTTCGCTTTGGGTTAATAACTATCTTACTAAATTTAGGAAATCTTATAGAGGCAATGAAAAAACAACTTAGTTATTGTTATAAAATCAAGAGAAATAAGATAAAAGAGAAAAATTATAATAATTTGCATATATTATATTATGAAATTGATTTTATTTATAGGATATTATATAGATAATGTAATTAAGATAATTTGTTATAAATAAAAAATAAAATTATTGGGAGACAATCATTCAATTATTCATAACTTTTTCTTGGATGTTTGTTTTGGATATGTCTCCTTAAAACGTTATTAGAAAAAATCTAGTGGAAAATAATCTAGTGAAGGGAAAAGAATACAATGTTTTTTTAAAATAAATTAATTTTTCCTCCTCAACTTAACGATCATTTCTTCGATGATAAAGACCAATCTTTTGTACTAGTTGATTAAAAGTTATACTTGAGAGCGACTTTGTAAAAATGTCTGTAAGATTATCACATAAACGAATTTGTCAGATATTTATATCACCACTCTTCTAAAGATCATGAGTGAAAAAGAATATTGGAGAGATGTATTTTGTTCGGTCTTCTTTAATGTAACCATCTTTCAATTGAGCATGCATGCAATATTATCTTCATATATGGTCATTGTATTTGTTTTTTCAAAAGACAAGCCACAAGTATTTTGTATGTGTTAAATTAAGGATCTCAATCAAATGCATTATCGACTTGTCTCATGTAGTACTAAAAGTTCTGTATGATTAGATGAAGTTGTTGCTATTGTTTGTTTCACTGATCTCCATGAAATAGTCGTACCACCACATGTAAACAAATAACTTGTTTGTGATCTGCCATTATGAGGATCTGATAAGTAACCTGCATCTACATAACCTGTTAATTTGAATTTGGATACTTTGGTATAAAACAAACTCATGTATATTGTACCTCTAAGATAACGAAGTATATGTTTAACTCTTTTCTAATATCTTCGTGTAGGTGAAGAATTGTATCTTGCTAATATATTGACAGTAAATGATATATCAAGGCGTGTATAATTAGCAAGGTACATTAGTGCTCCAATTGAACTGAGATATGGTACTTCATGACCAAATAATTCTTCATCATTTTCTCGAGGTCTGAAAGGATTTTTCTCCATATCGAATGATCTAACAACCATTGGAGTAGACAATAGGCGAAATTTATCATATAGAAGCGTTTTAACTCTTTTTCTATATAGTCTTCTTGATGTACAAATATCTCATTGTCTAAATGCTCAATTTGTAAACCTAGACATAATTTTATCTTTCCTAGGTCATTCATCTCAAACTCTTTCTTTAAACAATTCATAGCTTTTGGAAACTCTTTAGGAGTTCCAATAATATTTATGTCATCCACATAGACAACTATAATATGGTGGGAGAACTAACTTTTAGTTTTGCGTTTGATCGCAATTGTTGCGGATAGCAAGAGTCGCCACCGACTTTTCTTTTATCCAATAAAGGAAAGCGTGAAAAGAACAGGAAGGACCTTTTGAGAATTTTTCTTGAGTTCGGGGGGTAGGTTATGAAAAGGAAAAGTGTTAGCACTCTTTTCATCCGTAGTTATCTACGGGCTCTTAGCTGCTAGCTCACTTTGAAGTGCTTTGTAAATGTGTTTGTGTTTGGTGTAAGTTTGAAAATATTTTGAAAAACGCATTTATTTCGGTAAACTTTATAATGATTCTCGTCTCTATAAGAATGTATACAAAGTGTTGACTTTTGAAAATATTTCATTAAAGTGTTGATGTGTTTGAAAGGTGTTTTGTTTTGAAATGTTTGTGAGCAAGAAACTACGAGTGTTCTACCTACTCAAAAGAAAGTCTTTGTTCATTTCCTCCTCTTTTAGATAGTGTTATCTTACCATTAGTTAGTAAGAAACCTTATCATTGGATATGAAGGGACAGGCGTGGGTCATCGTACAGTCATAGAAGACAATATTGTAAGATGCCTTAGCAATTTGTCGTAAGGGAGTAAGATCGTTTACCGAAGGTAACATCGAAGGGTCATCGAGGGACTACGATCTTGTAATTGAGGGCCTTTGCTAAAGTATCCCACATTCGAGGGACATGACTGTTTTATCTGAGGCAACAAGTGTGGGTTAACCCTAGAAGTGCAAGTGTGCAAAGTGTATTATTTTAATGCATATGTCTTAAATTAGGGTTGTCTAGTGTTGATTTTAAGATCTTGCCATACACACCCTAATTACTAGCAATAATTTTGAAAGAGATAAATTGCGGAATTTAAATGTTCTACGCTATTACAATACTTTCAAGGATGGGGGATACAAATTTATAAATGGGAATGATAAGTAAATTAAATCCTAATTACTATTACAAGACTTTGACAATTACAGAATTCATAATGTAAAAAATGCGCAAGAAAATGCAAAGTGAAAAGAAATTGTTTTTTAGGGTTTTTTTGTTAGAAAAGATTTTGTAGTTCATTTAATTGAAGAGAAAAAAACTAGGTCTAAGTTAACTTAAAAGAACACAAATTGTTTAGGAAAATGTTTTTGATGTCTCATTTTAGAAAAAGGTTTTATGGTGTTAGGTTATCTCCAAACAATGCAATATGTCCAAAATAACTTAAAAAATCTCAAAATCAAGAAATTTGGTGTCTGAGCTGACACGGACCGTGTCAGTGGACACGAGAACCCGTGTTAGGACATGTCCCAGCTCCTCTACACATTTTTTGTTCCAGCCAAAATGACACGGGTCGTGTCGTGTGACACGGGCACCCATGTAAGCCCATGTCTGCCTGTTTTTTGCACGTGTATGAACCAGTTGAGTTGACACGGGCCGTGTCGTGTGACACGGGTACCAGTGTCAAGGCCTGTCCTACATTTTTGTTAAGTTTTCAACCCAACTTAGCTAACACGGGATGTTTCATGTGACACGGGCGCCCGTGTCAGCCCCTGGCCTGGCTTTTTGCTAAGTTACAACTTTGATCTGTCCTGTTGTATCCTTTTGAAAGCAAAAGCAAATGATGTATGAATAAATATATTACAATTTGATAAAAGTTACCCCTTAAAGCGAAGACTTTAGAACACGTACAAATGTTTCCAGGTGTGAAGTATGAAGATGTGAAAAACACAAGAAGGGGGGGTTGAATTGAAAACTTGGATCTAAAACAGCTTAATGACACCGTATTTTTATCCTGGTTCGTTTGATCTCAAACTACTTCAGTCCACCCGTCAAGGTGATTTCGCCTCTCTCCAACGAGGTTTTAATCCACTAATCTCAAAAGATTACAACAGCTACTTTAACAACTGTTAAAGTCTTCTTGAGTACAACCATAATCTGGTTAATCTCAAGGATCTCTTTTACAATATGATTTAAACAAAATGTGTTGTTGTTTTTCTAACAAAAACTGTTTATCACAACTGTGATAAATTACACTGGTT